CCGACCCCTCGGACGGGAGCGCTGCCGCGCTTCCCAAGCGGCGCACTATCCAGTGCGCCACTGGGCCGGCCCTAAAATACACCACTTTTAAAAATAACCACTTAGGACACAATCAGAAAAAAACTGAAATGCTGATTGGTTATAGAGAAAACTGGATAGAGCAAATCATCATTAACTTTTAAAGTGTGATAACGGTATTGAGGTTATATTTTACTAAGAGTCCTTGAATTTTAGGAATACTTACTAAAATATACACACATGAAATGAGATGATGTCTGGGATTTTTCAAAATAATTGACTGGGGCGAGGGAGAAGAAGTGGGTGGGATGTGGATGAAATGCAATGGCCAGGAGTTGGGATTGTTGAAACTGGATGACAGGTATGTGGGGGTTCTTTATGCCACTTTCTCTACTTTAGTACGTGTTTGATATTTTCCATAATAACAACTTTTTTTTTAACTAGGGGAAAAAGGCAATAGAATTGCAATAGTAATACTTTCTTATCCTATTTCTAGCAGCAGCTTGAGTATGAACATCTGTCAATGCTATGCAGAATTTATTATTTTAATTTTAAGTTCACATTTTGGCTTTGCCCTGCAAGTTCTCCTCCGTTTTTTATGTTTTCTAGACTTGCAATATTGTATTGATGAAAAGCAAATATAAAAAGATAATATTTTAAAAAATTACAATCTCTACATAGTTACTTACACATTTTTTTAAATGTTCAGTGACTTTTTACACAAATTGTTAATCCATAGAGATTAAAAAAGTAAAATAATGTACAGAACCAAGCAATTTCCCCTTCCTGTAACCCTAAAAAGGTCACAACTATTAATTTTTCCAAGGGTTCTTTTAATACATATGTGTTATTTCTAGAAACTCAGAGATATTCCATATCTTTTAGTGCATATGGATTCAGATCAATATTGCTAATAAACTCTTTAAATACGGTTTGAAAAACTGACATAGCACTGGAAAATTTCTGTAAATTTAAGTACAAAGAAGCCATTTGGAATCACTCCAAATGCTAATTACATTTGGGGGGGGGCCAGTTGAGCTAGCTGTAATAAACAACTAAAGTATTCCTTTTCAACTCCTTAACTATGAATTATATTCAAGCTAATCATCTTGTTTACTTCTGCTAAAATTTCAGAAGTGAAATAATCTGTCGAATATCTCTGTCCTGCTGAGTTCCCTTTTTAAAAGCAAGAGCAAAAGCAAAATGAATTATTTACCAATTTTCTACCATAAATTCTGCTAACAGGAGGAAAGCCACCACAATATCTTACTAAAAAAATGGAATATACAGCACAGAAAGCCAGGGATTCAGCTTAAACAATTCAGTCATGCATTTTCATTGATAAGCCAGGGAAGGGTAAAGAGGATTCACGAGAGAAATACATGAAAGGGCAGCTGCAGCTGTGGGGAAATGGCATCCATCAAACGGCACCTAATAAAACTGTGTGGCTGTTTAAATCTAAATCTTCATTCTTATCAAGAAAAAAACTAGAGTGTTTTAAGTGCAAAAATACACAAAGATTTTGTTCTTTGCCTTTGCGAAAATCTTTTTTTGGCGAAGATATAACATA